CACACACACACACACCACAAACACACAAACTCACACACATGTACACAACACATAGACACACAAACAAACACACACACAAACACATACACACACAAAGACACATACATACACAACACAACACACATGCGCACACACACACACACACACACACACACACACAAGCGCGCGCGCGCGCACACACACAATAGCAACCGCTTTATACTAACCAGGACCATAAGCCAGAAGAAAAACAAAGATGGCCATCACAGAGAGTATGGAGTACTGTGAAGGGCAGAGGGAGAATTTGAAAATAATCTCATACTTCGACTTGAATGTACTGTTGTCCATGCAGCGACCCACGCTGGCGAAGTCTTTGCTCTGCTCGTGATTAAAGGAAGATAATGAAAGAAAGATAATAAATTATAAATAAATGTAGGTGACGAAAATGGAAACAGAAGAAGAGGTAGATCAACTGACTGACGGACTGACTTACTGACTTACTTTTATTTTTAAGTCTTTGGTGGACGTTGTCAAGGCAGTCTGCAGTTTTGGATATAATGCTGCAAAGGTACTTGAATTTATTAATTATTTCTGAGAGGAGTTCTCCATAAAAAGTGGTGGGCGTAGTTTCTGATGATAGACGTTGCACTTCTGTTCTAGGTACATTTACTATAAGGCCAACTGACCGGGAGTACAAAATGTGTCACCACACGGTGGAATCAGGTGCTCGTCAGTTTTGAGGCATAATATAAAGGTATAGGTATCAACATAAATCTTGTTCATTTGTCTTGGTTTCGGTGAAGTCGATATATTTGCCATTGAAGGAGGTGGGGGTCACCTCGTTTCATGGGTAAATGTAGCGAGAAAATGACCACCAAAGTTTGATGATTTCCATGGCTTGAAAGACATTGGAAAGGGAAAATTTACACCTTTTTTTTACCTGTAATCAAAGATATTCTGTAAATTCTACACAGAAATGTGTTTATAAATGGACATAAAGGGTATTGAGCCAAACCTAAAACATCGGTAAAATTGCCAGAATTTCACTATTTTAACGAGCGCCTGATTTCACCACGAAGCCTCACAGATATTATCGGGGATGTGGCTTGGGGCAGACAAGCAGGGAGTCGACTGCACTCTGCCTTCTGTACCTGAAGTTAAGTTCAATAAACAAATCACGACCTTAGAATTACAAAGTTCTATCAGTTCAGTACCTAGTTTTTTGAGAAATTTGAAATTTTAAAATAAGTTTTGAGTTTCAATAACGTTAAGCATTTTCTTTAACGCAATTCTTTGAATTTCTTGATAGCAACCTTTTACTTTTGACCTCACCCCCTTACCTTTGAGTACATGTCATTAATTTGACAAATTCCCTTGCCTGTTGCCACACCCCTTACCTGTCACCAAACTCTTTGCCTTTGATCCTACACACCTATCTTTGCCCATACCCTTTTTTAACCGCAGTCTTTACTTCTGACCACACCCTCTCATTTTTTAACGCACATTTTTCTTTTGGACACCCTCTTTTGTCTTTGACTACGCCCCCTCATCTATAACCACATCGCTGTATCTTTGATCATAACCTTTACCTCTGAACACAACCCCCCCACCCCCACCTTTATCTTTGACAATCGTCTTTCATTTTCTTACGGCCATACCCTTACCTCGGCTGGTACACAGCTGCCTTCTACGGCTTCACCGTCAACATTGATGGAGCAAAATCCACACGATATATCCCGCACGCAATTGTAACAGGTCCTGTAATACGAAGAGAATTTGGTGGCTGGGAAAGAAAAAACTACAAAAATAACCTTGTAAGGATAATAAGGATAAGAATAATAATAAGGATGATGATGATGATAATAATAATAACAAAAATAATAACAATAATAATAATTACAATAATTACAATAATAACATTTGTATAGCGCATATCCCTTCTCGACAGCAAGCTCTTTACGTATTTCTGTGTTGTCGTGTGGTTTGCTCCTTCTTTCCTATCAAACACTATCGTCCTTATCTCTCCTTCTTCCTTTTTTGTGTATGTTATTCTCTTGTAACACATCTAGTCTTTGGCACTTATATATATGACCTTATTGTTTTGCAAGTGCCGTAAAGCTCTTACTAAAATAAAAGTATTTCTCCTGCACATGTAACCAATACCACAGATTACGAAATTGTAATAAGAAAAATGTTGTCTGAATGTGGCGTTCAGTACATCTGACCTGCTGGCTGACCGTATCATGTAGGCACATAGGTAGTAAGGTGGCCAGTAAGAGCTAGTATGGTTTTGTACATATCGTCTCTCTCTCTCTCTCTCTCTCTCTCTCTCTCTCTCTCTCTCTCTCTCTCTCTCCCTTTCTCTCTCTCTCTCCCCGTGCTGTGGCGTCATAAACGATCAGTGATGCCGACAGCACGCAGAAACTCAACAGTCACTTGAAAGTCCTTGAAAAGTGCAGAAAGTGGATTACTGAAATGTCCCAGCAGACAAGAGTTTTGTTCATAGGTAGTAGGTAGACTTGGGGATAGATAAACAGACGGAAGAGTATAATAGGTGGGTGGGTAGATAGGTAGGTAGGTAGGTAGGTACGGAGGGAGGGGGTAGGTAGGTACGGAGAGAGGGAGGGGGTATGTTGGTAGGTAGGTAGGTAGGCAGGTAGGTTGGTTGGTACGAAGTGTGTTAGTAGGTTAGTACATAGGTAGGTGGACAGGTAAGTAGTTGGATGGACACTGTAATAAGCAGGTAGATAAGTAGGTAGATGAAAAGTAAAATAGGTTGGTGGATGGGTCAGCAAAATGATGGATAATAATACAGATAGCGGGATAGGTAGGTAGCTGGGTGGAAGGTAAGGTAGAGGTGGATAAGTAGGTGCCATTGGCAGTCTAGTGGTTGGGCTACTGCATTTGTAGTCGTGAGGTTGCGGGTTCGGGAGTTCGAGCCTCGGGCCCGACGTTGTATTACTGGGAAAAGGCACTCCACACGAATTTTCCTCATTTCACCCTGGTGAGAAAAGGTACCTGGCCACGGAAAACGAAAGATCCTTTCAGTATGCTAGAATTTTAACGTCTATTAAAAAATAACAGCTTGCACTGTATGCTTCTCGGGAAGTTGAGATTGCTTCAGAATGGCATAAGATCTGCTTGGGTAATCATAATAATAAATAACATTGATGCTGCGCTTTTCCATTTTCTAAAAAATATTCAGTGTACATTACATTCATAAAGATATCCCATTGTAGAAGTTAATGGACATGTGTATACATAAAACATAATAGATAGACAGACAGATAGATAGATAGATAGATAGATAGATAGATAGATAGATAGATAGATAGATAGGATCGATCGATCGATCGATAGATAGATAGATAGATAGATCGATAGATAGATAGATAGA